AAAACAGAGAGAGAGAGAGAGAGAGTTTGAAATTTTTCTGATAAATTTACGAACACTTTACGAATCTCTTCCACTTGCACTTTCGTTGTGCGACATTGATCGATTTTAAATTTGTAATAACTACGATCGATAATAACGGGATAAAGACGGGATTTATCAGAGTTTGTAACGATGATAGATATTCATTTATAATCGTACAAGTTTTAATGCGATTTTATACGATTTTTCACAGATTCCTGATTCGATTCTTGAATTGAGTTATATACAATATTTATCGGACGGTAACGATAATTTATTCAAAGTTAATATTCTTTCCCAAGTAAAAGACATTTTATTAAAAAGGAGCGAGTCGTTGGCCAAGTGCTTAATCCTTTGTTTAATAAATATATATACTTTTATTGACATTATCCTTTCACCCAAGTGCGCAATAAATTTAATCAATTCATAGGCATCATTAGAAAACGAGTTTTTATTTAAGTAGGTACGTTTTAACGACACATTTGACATAAAGATATATGTATTTTACGAAATATTTATAATATTATTAAATACATTACATTCTAATAAATGTTAATATAACTTTGAAAAATGTCTCCTCCCTCCTCTGTGTTTTAGGATTCCGTGGCGTCCGCCTCGGAAGTAGGCGAGGAGTACGAGGACGACGGTGACGATTCGGACATGTACATGGAAGCGGAGAGCGGCGAGGCCGATCGGATCGATAAGGAGGAGGGGACGCGGCGAGAGAGCGAGAGTTACGCGAATGCAACAACCGGCCGTCGTCCGACGATCCCTCGCGAGGGAAGTGGCGGCGGCCAAGTCGTCGAAAAGGAGGGAAAAAGCGAGGCGTCCAAATGGAAGGATCAGGAAGCGGAAAATACGAAGGAGACGGATCGAACCGAGGGCGCGGCACCCGATTCGGAAGACAAAAGCTTAGAAACGGAGAGTCAGAACTTCTTCCCCTCGTTCGCCGACTTGTTCGCCAATCACAGGAGTTCGTTCGCCGAGCAGCAAAGGTACAGGAACAGATTCCTGGGATACTTGCAACGCGATCGCGGTTATCAAACGTCGCAGGGGACCGGGATCGGCAAAGAAGTTCACCACCCGCTTCTGGGATCGGGCAACTTCGGCGTGATCCGGGGCGGCACTTATTACTCCGACGAGAAGGAGAACGACGAGTATTCGGTGGACGACACGCTGTACAATCCTTACTATCACGCGGGGAACCGTGGCCGAGCGAATTATTTCAGGAATCCTAAACCGCAACCGATCCGCGGTGGTGATTTCTTCGCCAATTTCCGAGATTTCGCCGACATCACCGCTCCCCCCAAGTCCAGTTTCTCCCACTTGTCCGTGGTTTACGCGAATAAAAACGCGACCGGCGGGGGGGCGCGTGTCACGGAGCCGAGAAATATCATCGAAACCCTGAGGATGCTGGAGGAGGAGGGGCAAACGAGCTCCGAGGTGGCGGCCGGCACCGAGCAGGAATTGCCGAGGAAGAAACAGAGCAAGGGGAAGAGGAAGTTGATGAAAATGAAGCAATACGAGGAGGACAAGGCGAGGAGATCCCGCATCACCGTCGAGCCTTTGTTGGCGCTCAGTTGAACGTTTCCCAATTGAAATTGTATAAGGTAGTGCGGACGCGAATTAAGAAATCTTCCACCTCCTCCCCTTCCCCATCAAAAAAAAGAGGTGAAATCACGAGATTAGAATCGAAGATATACGTGAAAAATATAACGTCATTTGCATCCTATTTTACGTAGGGGGAGGATTTTGCGCGGAGAATTCGAGGAAAAGGATCGATCAAAGGGGGACACTCGCGTGAATTTTTTCTTTTTCTTTCTTTCTTTCTTTCTTTCTTTCTTTCTTTCTTTCTTTCTTTCGCTAATTTTCAATAATTCGATGCGTCTCGAGGCTGGATTTTTTGTATTTAACGAGAAGAACATTCGTATAATTAGAAATTTTATATCGATGCGTTGTTCCGTTTCGTACTTTTGAATTATTGGAATTAACGTAACCGCGCCTCGACGTACTTTCCAATTTTCGTGGCAATTGTACGGATTGCGTGTAAACCGAGTATTATATTTCTCCAATTATTTAAATCGTTCGCTACGAAGGATAAACTGTGTGTATCCATCGTGTTTCGCTTTCGTAATTCCACGTTTCAGACCTTTCCGAAAGAAAAACTTAAAAGCGTCAAAATATAGGTTGCCATCGAAATCGAACTGGTGAAATAATGGAACCGTGGACAGTCGCACACTTGACTGAAATTACTTTCAAAAATTTCGAATCGAAGAGTGCTCCAACTACTCTAATTCGATCGAACGAGATATCCGAATTGGACTATCGGAAAATGATGATATCGCGTCCGACTCTAATTAATCCGATACTCGTGTCGAAGGATATTAAATCGCAAGTATCTAAAATCGCGTTTCTATCGTGGATCGATTAATTTTTTTTTTTTTTTTGCGTGGAAATAGTCGGAGTTAATCATTCATCGATCGAACGAGAGAAGATCGTGTCAAACTCGTTCATGGCCGATTCACGGACACGTTTTAAATCGATCGAATGGATTTTGCGCGTGCACCTTCGTTATGCTCGAGTAAACCTGAGTCCGTGTACGCGCGTAACGTTCAACACACTGTTAATCTCCGTTCACAGGCTGCGCGCACGCGCTTGACACGCGCGTGTATTTGTACACGAGTGTTTTAAAAAGAGGGAAAATTCGCATTAGACGGAAAACGGAAGGAGAAACATTTGCGTTTGTCACGGCCTTTTGTAAATAAATTTCTACTGCTCTGCCTCGCGTTTTCTTTAGTGTTTTAGCTAAAGCGGAACCGGACTAACATTTGCGTCTTCATTCGATGAACATGCGTGTGTATTAATCGTTCGTTCGGACCGTGTATTTCTTGCGTTTAACTATATGTATGAGATTGTAGTTGTAAACTACACTAAGATTTATCGTATAGATAAGTATATATCCTCGTATTGTTTTTTTTTCTTTTCTACGGTTGCAGACTGTCTCGCTGCATTTATTAAATTCACAAAGACTGTTCATCTACTAATTATTATTATTATTATTATTTTATTATTATTATTATTATTTTTATTATTATTATTATTTTTATTATTATTATTATTTTTATTATTATTATTATTATTATTATTATTATTATTATTATTATTATTATTATTATTATTATCGGCTTGGCGTAGAATTTTGTCCATCTTCTTGTCATAATTAAATTAACCAATATTTCCCCACAAAAGTGAATCGAATTTTTGTTGTTCAGATTTATATACACGTAAACGATTTTTCTTTTCACATCACGATCCTTTTGATATCTCTCTTCTCAAGTTCGAGTCGAGTTATTGCGTTTCCAAATCGTCGATTACGACGATTCGTCGTTCGTTTCGAAAGTTTTCTCGATGATTCGAATCGTGGCATATAAAAAGCATAAAAAGATTCACCATCCCACCATCGCATATACTCTAGAAATACTCAATACAAAGACGAAAAGTCCACAAGTGAATCTTTCGCTGTAGATTTCGACGTGTTGTTATATAAAGATTTTGTTGTTGATTATTTTAAGTACAATAAGTAGTATAGGTATGATAATTAAATGATCACTCGATCACTGTGTCTCTCGTATCGTATATGTAGACTGTACACTGCAAGGGACACGTGATAAAGTATATATCGAAATAAAGTATATTTTTCATAATTCGTGCGAATGTGAAAACCTGTTATGATCATTTCCTGCGATTTAATACGAAAAAAAAAAATTTTAAACTTCTCTCTCTCTCTTTCTCTCTCTCTCTCTCTCTCTCTCTCAAGGTAAGTAAACTTTACCATTTATAATCGTAATAAAATTTATTTATCGTAAAAATGGTTAAAAAAACATATTTCGAATACATAATAGATACACGCGACATCACTATTTTTTTTCTTTTTTTTTTTCTTTAGTTAATAAATATTTACACGCGAACAATACATTTAAAAAAGAGCTATAAAATAAAGTTTAACATTAATCGAAATATTTATAATTCATTATAAACATATCCTATAGATATATCTTATATAGGATTTTAGCGTTTTAAAGAAATAAACGCGAAAATAAACACGGGAAGAAAATTATGATATTACTAATTCATATGTTTCTTCATCGTGCCGATTAGTTTTCCGATTCCAGTATAAATTTCTGCATACGTCGCAGGTTTATACATCCAAGCCGGTGTACTAAAAACGTTGTATTTTTTACATTTTGTCATTCCCTTTACGCTTTTCTGCTCGACCTTGGCTCCCATCGCTTTAGCCTTTTTAATAGCATCGGCAAACGGCCACTCTTCCGCTGGTGCTAAATACGAATTTGAAAAATTTGAAATCGTAATTATTACGCGAACGATATACATGGTCAAAAGACGTTTGTTAAAAAATATAAACTCAAATTTGTAACATTAATTTTTGTTGCACGCGTTCTTCGATCGAATTTAGGATAAAAGATATTTCTTTGTTGTCGACTCACATTCTTTTCCAAGTGTAATTTTAACACCCTTGAGTACTCTCGCTACAAGGACGCTAGAAATGCAGATCGATGCGATTGGTTTGCCCTCGCAGTGAAAATCTTCGATAATTTGTTCTAAATCGGGATGTATAGTGCAATCTGCACCTTTCTCTGCGAAATTGCTCCTTTTTGAGAAATACGACAAATAAAAACGAGAGAACGCGATACGTCGACGGGGATTGGTTTTACAAACTGAACGAACGAATAAGAGCTAGCTTTTTTGCATTCGTTCGATCGAATTTAATATGGAATATTCGTCGAAATTCTTATAATTATTCTCGATTTTCAAACCGATGACACACAACGAATACTAACAATGTCTTTGCAGCACCAAATCCTCCGGGGATAACGAGTGCCTCGTGTTTACAGGCTTGGCATTGGCATAACGGTTTTATATTCGATCTAGCGATTCTGGCAGCTTCGACTAGAGCGTTTCTGGTTGGACTATCTGGATCCGGTTTTTTCGTAAAATGATCGACAGTTTCACATATGTTTACGTCTGGCGCGTAAAAATGTGGCTTCATATCTTTCAGGCAGATATGTATCATTGCCGACATGGCTTCCGAAATTTCAGTACCATCTAGATAACCGCAGCCGCACAAAATCTACGACGAGAATAACATTTCAAAAAAAAAAAAAAGAAAGAAATAGACGAAATCGTTTATTTTTAGAAAAAGATTATTTTTATCTAGCTCGCGCTCTGCAAAATTAATTGCGAAATTAAATATCGGCCCGTTCCATCTTAATTATACGTACGAGTATTTGATATAATAATGATGATAATAATAATAATAATAATAATAATTTATCCAATAGGATATAACATGTATAACGCGTATAAATTACTCACAACAGCAACGGGTATTGGACTTCTATCGCACTTATGCCTTTGTTGTCTACATTTTCTATTAACAATTTGTGACGTGTGAAAACTAGACGATAAAATAAATCTTCCAAATACGAAAGATTCATTTTGCAACACTGACAAGAATCGTACTCGTCGTAACATAATATATAAAAAGGTATGTGATAAAAAATAAAACGAACGTTTTATTCTTTATTAAAATTTATCGAGTCGGATCTTTATTTAACCAATAATTTTCTCCATTTTATCAATTCGCGATATTCGCCTGTTTCGTTTAAATGTAAAAATAGAGAAGAGAATGGTATTGCTGTTGTGTTCGATAGCGGGTGATATATCGGGTGTGTTCGTAAATTTGAATCTCGATTTCCGAGCGTTCACCATAGAGGGCAGGATGGGCCGGAATTACAAGAAGAGTCCTCGATGCGATTGGCGCAAACTATTTTCCCGAGTTACACGCGCTCGATCGATAAGTTGGCTTCGTGCCGTGGTTCGAAGCTGTGCTAAGCGAAGCGAAAATCGGAGAAAAGCGAAAGAATGGGATGGGATAACGGCGAGGAGGTGAAGGGATAGAGGTAGGGAGGAAAAT